GAGGGGAAAGAACTAAAAAAAGATCTGAACTCATACAATACAAAAAGTCTTTTTTTCCGCCGTTAGGAAAGACTTGTCAGAAATGTGTATGTGGTTGGTTGTTGACCAAGAAAGACATGGGAAAAAGACCAAAGCCATCATAGCATAGGATTGACTTCGTCGCTCTGCTCCATGATACCAGAGAGACTTTCTTACTAAAAAAAGAGCTGTGGTTGGTTGTTGACCAACGGAAAGAAAAGCATGGGAGAAAGAGAAAGATGGATGCACAAACGAAAGGAAGAAGGGCGACTTCTTTTTTTTTTATAGATTCTGTCCAGCCCAAATCTGTTTTTAGTTTCATTACGCAATTTTTTTACAGGGGAGTCGAAGCCACACAACAACGACCAACTCTAACTGTCGCCCGCTAAACCACTTAGCTACCGGTATTTCTTCTCACACAGTACCAATCGCTACGAGATTCTCTAAAAGCTTCAATCGCATTACATACAGTGATTCAAAAATCAGTGATTCAAAAATCAAATGCAACATTGCGCGGATCAAAACCCGTCTCAAGTGGCTTGGCTAGGGGGCGGAAAGGACGAACTTCATTTTTAAGCAGCGGGATCTCTTTTCATTGCTAAGACCGCCTCATTTCGAAACCGGATTCGCTACCCAATTAGTCTCCCTACGCTATTATATATATTATATTAGGCACCTTTGGTCCTTGCTTTCTCGATCAAACTCTCTGACGTCGAAGAAATACTTCGAGGAGCAGGGATGATTTGAAATCCTGTATTTTTTTGACACTGAACACCAAGCCAATCTTGACTTAAGTAAGTACAAGCAAGGCAATGGACTCTATCAAGAAGGTATGGAACTTCTCGACGCACCTCTTGAAATGAAATTCCTTCTTTGCCACATCTCTCTTAGCTTATTTTATTTCGAGTTATTAGAGGGAAGGATCACTCCTAAAATAAGCCTTTCTCTTATATTATATACGAGAGCACTGCTGCCACTTCTGAAGCTAGGGACTTCTTTCTGTCGATACCTTTACTTTAGAGAGATAAAGAATAGGGGCGAAGCGGTTGAATTGGCTTCCATCGAAATCGAGATTTCCTCTGCCTCTTTTCTTATATTTATATCTTATATTTATATTTTATATTTATATTTTAGGCACTCGAAGCATATTGGAAAGTTTCCAGTAGAGCGGGAAGAAGGCTTAGTCAAAGACTTTCAAGAGCTTGTTGGAGGAAATGGATCAAAGGAAAGGGTAATTATTAATTAAACCGGCCATGCCAGAGAAGAAGCGGGGAAGCCTTATTCAATCAACTACAACCTAGCAATAAGAAGAAGGACAGGCCTGCACCTAGGAAGAAATCCAAAACGTCGAGGGGGCTCACAACCTATTTATTTTATTTATTAATTATCAAGTTGGTTTATTAGCGCACTCACGCCAAGTGCTACCGCCTCATCCTGGTGAGGCATCCCAAGCCCCTGTAACATTTGGCTTTTTGCGTCCTTCTGCCCTGGGATAGTTGGGCCGGGCCTGGTAACTGCCGCTTCGATCAAGCGTTAAACTACTACTTCTGGCTTCGGTCGAGAAAGGTATGGGCCTATGTATGGGTCGGGTTCGTAGTAGCAGACGGACAATTAAAGTACGTGGGGTCTGCTTGGTGAAGCGAAGTAGACAGGTATCTCCTAGATATCGAACGAACTAGCCACTCGTTATTGTAGCAAGGCGCCGTGGGTCTTGCGAGCTTCTGGGCGTATACGAATCTCCTCGATTCCTCTATATGTAAGGAAATAGCTACATCCAAAAGAAAGAAAAGGGGCAATGGTCGCCCTGGACTCTCCCAACAGTCTTTCGCCTTTTTCAGGCCTTCGCCTTAGTCCAAAGGAAGGGATTCTTATGTAAAGAAAATAATTCGTTACAAATAAGGTCAAGCTAGCTGGCTCATAACCTTGAGGAAGGAAATCCTATTTCGCCTTTCTTTACACCGGTATTCAAATAAGCTGCTGCAAAGAATGAGAAGTGGGTCTCGCTCTCCTAATCAGTCGTTAGCTTATCCATCTCTCTTTTTATCCGGGCTTATTCCGCTTTAGCTGAGGCCGATGCCCCTATCTTTCTTCTGATCCGCCCCTAAACAATAGCAATAGCACGAATCCTAAGCTACGGCACGCGAAGGAATGGTTCCATGAATCATGGGTGGAGGCGACAGGGGGATTGGTTGGCTTACTATGGGGAAGGGGAGAATCACTAAAAAAAGTCTAGAGCTCCCCTAGGGAAAGTCTTCTACCTCGTTGGACCGTATTCGCTACTAAAACGTAGCCCTCCTCCTCCTCCGCCTTCGTTTGAGGAAGCAGGTATTCGCTTGTCAGCTCTAGCCTTCCCTTGCCTTGCCCCTCGAATAGTCCTACCCCGAACAATATCCATTGCCTGTCTCGTACCGCTCCATGGGCCTTTTATGATTAGACTACTCACGAATCTATCCAATTTCTTACTGAACTTGACTTGTCTCCG